CTTGATTGTTTTTTTATATCTTGATTGTATAATAAGAAGTAATTATCTTTCATTCTATCTCACCTATATGTCATACGATTTGAATTTAGAATCTTTCATTCTCAATGAAATAAAATAATTACTAAATTACTTAAGTATTGGTAAGATATTTTCTTATTAGAGTTCATTATTTATAATTATTTATAATTATTTATAAAATAACAATATAAACACCTCTTTAAATAGTATTTAAATTAACTATTTAAATATAATTTATAATTTATAATTGATATTTAAGGTTAATAATTACTTTTATTTATAATTTAAAGTATTTAATTCACTTAATTAGAATTAACAGGGGATAATTATTTATAAAACAACAAAATAACAACCCACTCACTTAAATCAAGCTTGTACAGGAAGTTTCAAAACGTTTTTTAAAACTAATTCTGAATTAAAGATTTCTAATAATTGGCTACTCAAGTCACTGACATTCAGTGACTAAAAAAGAAAGTCACTGAGATTAAGATTATTGTCTCTTCTTTATTGGTTAAAAAAAAAAAACTGACAACCCTTTTTTTACAAGAAAATTAATACATATTAATACATATTAAGTATATAAAAATTAAGAAAAGAAATTTATAAAATTCAAAGACGTAATTTATAAAAATTGTTTGCATTAACTCAAGGTCAAAATCACTATACTGCATCGTGGGGCTCATATATTTGGAGGGCTAGTTGTTCAAGATTGCAGAGGAGTTTTAATGTAGACCCTAGAGTACATTTACAAAATTGCTAAGATTTCCACAAAAGTTTATAATTAACCGCTATTAACCATTAGGCTGGGATACACAAATTTTGAAGATATTTATTTTCATGGCTGTTGGACCTCTCTAAGAACTTTCATCTGGTGAAAGTACAAGGATAATTGAAGAGTAACTGAGCATGGGGTATAGATTGACATCGAGGAAATGAGCATACTGTTTAATTGCAATCTCTCTTTCTGGGATGTCCCTTGAGAGGAAGTCATACGGTGCAGGCTTGCTGGTGTCTACCAATGGCACCCACCTGTATCCAGGGCGCTCCGGCAATGTAACCATAACAGGTAAATGACTGGCATTGAAAGCAACATAGATTTCTCCCTTCACAGAATCAATCTGGGTAGAACCACATATTAGTAACGATCATGCCAATGAAAATACCAAATTAGATGGATAGGAAGTGATAAATTTAAACTAAAAAACAGCAAGGACAAAGGGGGTAGCCACAAGGACGGAACCACATTCACTGATCCTCGCCCTGACAAACAATTTAGTCTTTTTCTTTCTTTCTTTTTGGCTTCAATTCCACTTAATTCTGGCATATTGCAGGCTTGGTTCAGTTTCAATTTTCAAAAACTAGTACGGTTTGTTAAGTTTCTCAAACACCGAATGGGTGTACCCCTGTACCTTGCTTATTTTATGTGACAGGATTATATTATTCTCTAGGACAATATTAGTGAACAAAGGCACAAAAAATGAAACAGGATATAAAATGCAAAATAAGAAGCTACCAGAGTAAAAGCCACAAAACGGCTTGCTTCAGACCAGTCTGGCATCCCTGGAGTATGGCCATGCCACTGCAGCCTCTCTGATGTTGGGAAGTCATTTAGTCCAAGTGACTCACATTCACTGCATTGTTGTGACGGAAGATTAAAAAAATGAGGGGCTTGGAGGAATAAATTATAATCAAACTAGGGTTTTGGTTTGTTTGTCTTTTAATTGGAAGCCTTACTAGATTAGGATTAGGGTTCTAGACTCTATATGTTTACTGTTATGCTTCTTTAGGATTAAGGGTTAAGTTCGCCCTCGTTACTTGGACTGGGTATTCTCCCTAGTCCCCACCCTCTCTTCCTTGGTTCTCTCTCCTTTCTTTGCATCTCTTCTACTCTTGCTACTGTTTGTCAGCTTGCAAAGATAAGCAACTTTATTGACAGAGAGTAGTTTCTTACCGGCGGAACTTGGTCATGAGGCAGCAAAATCTGAAGAAGTCTGATGTGGCCTCTTCCTTTTTATCCCAACGAAAATAGTTAATCTGTATCAGGACTGAGATTTAGTTAAAACGAATCAACAATCAGGTTTCAAATAAATTCTGGACCTTAGCAGTGTGTAAAGAGAGTGCATCACATAGTTGTCATGGCAGTATGTGTTGTTGTTTCCCCCTTTTGTGTGACCGTATTCATCACCCATATAAATCATTGGGACACCCTGGTCAGAAAAAGATCACAATTAGACATAAACACCCATCACCATTTGGTGTTAGAAGTGTCAAAATGTTGGCCTCATCAATAGCTAGTATTCAGGCACTGGGAATGGACCCAAAAAAATGGGCATTGGGTCTACTTGTGTCTAATGAGTAGAATCTGGAGATGACACGAGAAGTAATTTACTGTTGCTGTGTGGTGTCTAATGTTATCCTTTTAGTATAAATGTAAGAAAAGGCACCTTTTAGACATGGTGGATTATAAATACTGAGGACCTTGAAGGCGAGTTGCATGCTCTAACAGCAAGTCCAAGATGCATATATAAAAATGTCCAGGTGAGTTGTGTAAATTAAATCTTACTTGGGAAACCATAAGGCAGAGGAAGAAATTTCGCATTTGTCGTTTCCTCAATTTCTTCACAGAAATACTTGCAAACTCCCCTTCCTATAAAATCATAATGCTTCATGTAAATATAGTGAACTAATGTTAAAACACAGTACTAAGTATCCAATGAAAGCCAAACAAATCTTAAGATTCGTATCGAGTTTAAATCCATCTATGAAATGTATGGCATACAAGGTATCCAAGGCGAAGAAACAAACATAAAGCTATGCTTTTCTCAATTCTTTTTATTACTGTAACATGCAAAGTGAGATATATGCGCCGGGGATGGGAGACCATTGGGCTTAGGCCTCATTGAGCTTAAGCATTCCAATGTCAATTTCTTTAATTGATATCTATCTTGGTGACTCTGCCATGCCATGCAACATCAAGATCAAAATAAAAACAAACATGCTGAGTTTCCAATTCTATCAATATTACCTCTCCACAGTTCCAACTATTGTTATGAGTTTCTCCATCATTGTTGTCTTCTCCATTTGCTAAGTTATGTTTGTTGTTATAGGTAACTAGATCTGCCAAAGTAAAACCATCATGTGCACATACCAAGTTGATGCTATTCCACGGTTTCCTTCCTCCTCCCTGATGCAAACATATGATAAAAGATACTAGTAGATAAGAAATGACTAAGTAGATACAACATATCATGTACAAGCAGACCAAAGTTTGTTTACAAATTATTCAGGATTCTAACAAAATCTACAGAAAATAAGAAAAACACAAATATCTAATTTAAAGTTCAAAACTAAAAATAAATAAAATAACAAAGAGAAATAATGTTATAACATTGTTGATGAGACTATAATTATCCAGGAGGTTCGGTTTCTCATGTTTTGAGGATATAGAAATAGAAGTAGAAAACACACCTGATATATATTTGGGCTCCCACAGAGGCACTCAGCAAATGCCCCAGAAAATCTATCTGTCCCCTTGATAAACTGTCTCACTGTGTCACGGTACTGGAACAGAAAAGTAACTGTCAAACTGATTTCAAACCATAATCAGCATGAATAAGATATGCACGCATCTAAAAAATTTAATCACAGATGGGTCCATGTGGGAAGCTCAACCAGGTACTGCATTATTGCAGGACAGGAGCAGCAGAAGATTTAAAGTGGTAGTAGAATGGAGATTGGTTGGGGTTGGGCCATTACACAGATACCAACATATCAGATTCTATGACCTCATTTAAGTAATAATTTTTACCAAAGAAAGTATGGGTCAAAATGTCAAAAAAAGATGTGAGCTTTAAGTTACAAGAATACTAGGAGATGGTAAATTCTATTGGAGCTGACAATGGGAATAATTATCAAATTGAAACATTATTAGACATGCAGGATATATATTACCCAGCAGCATATTATAAATCCAGATTCTTGAAGATGTGCCCACAGTAGACGAAAAAAAAGGAATAAATAATACTTTCTAATTCTCAAGAGCTTAGAAGACTGTATCTCCAGGTTCTGGTTTATGCTTTTATCTAGAATATACAATTTATTTTTTCATGTTTTTTTTATGGTTAAAGCATAATCCAAATGCTCCAACTTCAGGATAACACACTACATAATTATGCACCAGGAAGGAAATTGATTTAAAGGCTGTAACATCATGCCTTTTGATGGGTTAATTACTTAGTTTATACGCCAATCAAAATATATTGATTGGAATGATAGAAACCATATTTTAGCATCTTCACTGACCTTCCCATTCCATTCTGACCAAATTCCCCAGTGAGGAAATGTGCCAACTTGATACAAGCCACCTGCATCCCACGCTTCAGCTATAAGCTATTTTGAAAGTAGAAAAGAGATCCAGTTAGTTTTTCTTTGGTGATGGCATGCTATGGATAGAAAATAATGAAACAAGGGGACAAAGGAAATGAGTGCATCAGGGAAGTAATATTAACATCAAATGAGGACCGAAATTTTGTATCTTGCTTGAGTATTTTATTTAATCTATCTTACACTGCTTGCAAAGTTGACAATGATGAAGAAAATACATGATAGTAGAATAAAACAAACACAAAAAAATGAAGAGGAGGGAACAGCCCTATGGTTGACAGTGAAAACATAAAAACTACGAAGATTTGGTTGTCTGGACTTTACAGCCACCTTAGTATTGTACTAGACTACCATGCACTGGTGTTTTGATTGTCTGCTAAACAAGCAACAACACCTACTACAGATTATAATGTCTTCTATGAGTCTGTAACTCATATGGTAAATACCTTAAGAATGCCACTGTAATCTTTCTTTCTTTATTTCTTCTTTTTTTTCCTCCTTTCTTTTAAAAATTTTTTTATGACTGAAATAAAGAAGATGAAGATTTTCTTTCATACTTAAGATTTAATTGTGACTGTTTTCTTCCTAGTCAGTTTCTCATTAATGAGAACAACGAGGTAATCCATGTGGACACTGACACCGCATTTGTTTCAACAAGTCCTAGGTACCAAATGGAAACTGGGGCAAGTTTGCTTTTAACCTTTTTGAGCAATTGTCTATGTGGTTGTTGTCAAACAGACAAACTCAGCTATATCATGCCTAGTAAAGATACTAAGATAATCTTTGTGAAATCTAAAATTTCTTCATAAAGGTTGCATGATATATACTGGGAGCAAAAAATGAGCTTCACAATGTCAATACCTTCACACCACGAAGTACTGGGTCATTACTTATCATGTCGATCAGTGGGGGATTGCTGAGAGGGGTACCCGTTGTTATCAAGTCACCTTCTATGGGATTCCCATATACATTAACAGAATCCCAAAGACTGTTGACAGAGAGGAAGAGTAGACAGATGACAACAAGAATCAGAATCATGCACAAACTGAAGGATAAAATGTACCCAGTAGATAGTTTAGTATAACCTGCTACCCCTGGTCATAATGGAAGCAAGATCAAAGCGAAAGCCATCCACATGCATTTCTGTTACCCAATATCTGTGTGTAAAGGAAAATAAGGTATCAAAGCCGATATCAAAATAAAGATGACAGGTTTGGACAACCAGAGAGCAACTAGCCTTTTTTTCACCACTCCATACTTCTTTATACCATTTCTTCAAAAAAATTCAAGTTAACGACATAGATCAAGGAATACCAAATTTTAAATTATTTGAATATCTATAAGCACCCAATCTATTTCACTCTTTGAAATAAGCTTCCGATTTATGCAAATAAGAATATTGTTAAATAATTGCAAAACTTAAGATATTCATTTGAGATGAAATTAGCATGCATAATCACAAAAACAGCAAATTAAAGCCCAAATGGTAGCACAAATGTCAAGAAGAAGTGCCAAACAAGATAATTTATCTTAAAAAAAACTCTGGTCAATCTACCTCAAGCAGTCTAATATAAATTGGCGGACCACAGGATGGTTGCAATTGAATGTATTCCCACAACCTGAATAATTATAGAACTCTCCCTGTAAAACCATACACCAAGATTTAGTTTATAGAATTATGGATAAAAAGGATGTCAAAATAAAAACATAAATATGTTTCTTTGCAGAAGAAGAAAGTCTAAAACTAAAAAATGTCAAGATCAATTGACAACAGTTCTCCAAGAGGATGTAATCCTACCAATCTATTTGTTGCACTTCATATTTTCATCAACTCAAGCACTAGATTTGATTGTTTATTCATGCATGTGGTGCCTATATAACAACAGTATAAAGACAAATTTAATTTATAATAACAAAAAAAAAAAAAAAATGGAAGTCCCCTGTAAATTTAAAAATCTTGTGAAATTTAAGGGAGAGGAGAGAAATGGACATGATGAAGATTTTAATTGGGTTAAATTCCAGAGGAAAACAAGACAAATGATATCACTTACAATTTTCATTGAATTCATAGAAAGGACAAAACCCTAATCTGCTCAGAATGGAACTCTTTGTTTTCTGGTTTCCTTTAGAAAGAAGATAGTAGTAAAAAGCCAACCTATTTTATAAATAATTCAATTTCCTATGACTAATCAATTGCATGCAGAACTCTGAAACTATATCAAATTCATTTTACATCCTATTTCATGTAACACACTTATAGGTAGTGCACCAGAAGCACATAATCCTAGAATCAAAATCTCCATTTCAACAAAATCTTCATTATCATTTAGATCACAGAGACTGAATGCTTTCATTGACTGTAGAAAAGATTGCACAAGGTGCGACTTCTTCGAAGATCAAAAAAATATTAAGTTATTGATTTATGCAGTACCATTTGGAGCAATCAACAGTGAATAAATCAAATAAAAAGAGCTTTTATCGACAAATCATTGTGTTTTATATTATGAAGCAACAGTCATTGATGATACAGATAAGATTAAATTTATCTAGTTAAAGACAGACCACACCTTTGGTGCCACCATGTAATAGACACTGTTATCAACACCTCTAAAGGACAAGATGGGACCCTTCTCATTGCCTTCAGTTGTGTGATTGAAGACCACATCCATCAAAACCTGCTTAAAATTAAATCTCTTCATAAAACTTAAGCCAAAAAGCTCCAAAATGACTTATATTCCTATCATAACCAGCTCATACCTCAATTCCTCGTTTATGTGCTTCTCTAACAAAAAGTTTAAATTCATTGAGTGCATCAGAGCCACAATTACGTATACCAGCAGATGAGTATCTTATCATGGGTGAGAAGTAATTGACAGTTGAATACCCCCAAAAGTTCACCCTGGAAAGAAATGGCTAACATATATCAAAGTTGCCAATGAGCTTTTCAAATAAACAAATGAACCTCATTTCATGAATTTGATAAATAGTCATATTTTTGTTCAAGATGATAAAATGATGCAGGACAGAGTAGAAACACTAAAGAAACGGGGAAAATAAGAAGAAATGGAAATAAAGGAGATTTTTCAAGTCTCAAGTCTTCATCATCACAAAACTAAAATCTTAAAGAAACATGATATTTAAATCATAGCAGCAGAAATCTAGAGCCAATAAATTAAAATGACTTAAACATACCCAAAATTCTAATTAAAAAATTTATAAATAAGCCTATATAACCAAAAAAAAAGTAAATGGCACAATTAGCTTAACCCTAAATCTCTGATCAACAAAAAAAATCCATCAAAATTAAAAAGTTGATCTTCCACAAGGCTTCTACCAAGTGAATAATCAAAACTCGCAAAACAGAAGATATTTTCATTCTCTTCATTCATTACCCTTCTGTTATTAACAGTTTGAAATGTGTGTATTTTGAAATTATAAAAATGAAAGTAATCCACACCTAAGATGTATAAATAACTACAAAAACAACAATGATACCAGATTATCAAAGTTTGACAAATTTGAGTCTCCCACAATCAGGATACCTAGGCATTCTATAGTTACAATTCCTACAAAAACAACAATGATACCAGATTATCAAAGTCTGACAAATTTGAGTCTCCCACAATCAGGATACCTAGGCATTCTATAGTTACAATTCCTACAAAAACAACAATGATACCAGATTATCAAAGTCTAACAAATTTGAGTCCCCCACAATCAGGATACCTAGGCATTCTATAGTTACAATTCCTACTATATCCCTTCTAGGAGCTTGTTTAAACAAAAATGTTGCATCCACATGCAGAAAGTTCTAAATAATAGGTTGCAAGATTTTACTTATAGTCACCCAAGACAGAATTGTAACTGTGGTACTCCAGTTCATTGAATTCATGACATGGCATTAACTCTATACAGTTGACTCCAAGTTCCTGCAAACCAAATAACTGTCTCAGAAATACAGAAAGCAATTAAGCATCTCTGATAATATTAATGTATGATGTCTCCAGCAGTTCATCCTTGCTGTCAAGAAATGATTGTAATTTATTTTCAACATGAGATATGTAAGTAAGAAGTAAAGAATCATTTTCCGAAATTGTTATAGAAGTACTTTAAACTCTACCTTCAAGTGATCAAGCTTCTCAACTACACCAAGGTATGTACCAGGGGCCTCTGTCCTGCTTGATTCATGCCTTGTAAACCCACGGACATGCATTTCATATACTATCAGATCACTTTGAGGATACCTAAGAGGTAAATCACCTTGCCAATCAAACTGACAACATCAAATAGAAAAATAATAAAGCAAATGTTAGAACAAATTAAAACAGATTGCCACAAGAACAACTAGATCCATATAAGGCCTCATGAAAGTGAACAATCAGGTGTATCAATGTTTGTATTAAAGGAGAAAAACTATAATTAATAAAGTCATGCAGGCTATAAAAATGGATTTAGATACCTCATCTTCAGCATTAGGTACCATGCAGGCCATTTGTGGCCAGCAATTATCATCAGGACCCAAAACACCAAACTCCCCTCTGCTTATAACTGCCTAGATATATGAAAAGAAAATCAGTATTCAAATTGTGAATTAAAAAAAAAAAAAAAAAAAGAGGTGGTGTATTCATTCAATGTTAGACTTATTAGGTAATAACAATCACAGAAAAGATGCAATGTTGTAGTTCACTGACCTTTGCATATGGGTCCAGCAGTATTTTAGAAGGATCAAAGTAGTGCCCTTCCTCTGGAGAAAACTTGCCATCAAATTTATAGCCATATAGCATATCTTTAAAATCCCCTTTCAAAAACACATGCCAGACATCACCAGTCTTGTTCATTAATGGATCAAGAGGTATCTGCTCAGTTACACTTTCCTAAAGACAAACATGGCAGTCAATATTCACTATAACACCAAAAACTTAAGAAATTCATAGCCACGGTAACAATATACACCATCCAATAGAATAAATTCATCCAAATTTCTAAACTCAAGATTTACCAGAAATGACAGTTGATCCTGCAATTCCAATTATAGTATCATCTTTTCAAGTTAGTAAACATAGAAAATATTGTCAAAAACCTAAAGAGAAAATATACAGGCAGTAGCAAATTGCACTAAAATAGCAAGGGCTTAGTGCAATCGCTTTTCCACTTCAATTTCCGGTAACAGTTAACACACTGAACCAATGGCTGGGAAGTAACATAAACACACAGCAAACTAACCTTCTGCAAATCCGAGAGACTAACAAGACAAAGAGAGGCAGAAACCGCATTGGCCGAATATATAGCAAAATTAACACCACCATCTCTCACGGTGGCCCCAAACGGCGCCGGAAAGCCCTCAAACACCTGAAACCTCCGCACCTTTGGCTTCTCCGCCACCGCAGTTTCCACTTCCGCGCCTCCTTCTCGAGCTCTAACAATCAACAACGAGTCCGTTCTCGCACAATTCCTAGACACATCAGCTGAGACTCCGAAAGTGAGACTCGTTGCTGTTTGGGTGTGGAATGTTGTTTTGAGATTGAGGAATTGAGTCCTCTGAGGACTGAGCTTGGAAGGAGCAAATGGCGAGCAGGAAGAGTAACGAGCTAACTCCATTAGTGAGAATCATTAACAGAGCAAATTCGGCATTGGTATGGAGATTTGAGAGTTCTGTTCTCAGTGTTCTGCAATAGAATCAGAAGGTATTCTTTCTATTTCTAAGATGATTAAGGATAGTGGAGTACTAACCACTTGGCTGTGTACTTGTCTGCCTCTGCTTGGAAGTATGAATTTAACGGTGCTTATCATTTTCTTTTATATATTTTTCACTCTAAATCAAGATAAGATGTACGAGAATCAAGAAAAGATGTACATTACAGGTGGCATTCTTTCTGTTAAAGGACATAATTTATTATATTAAAAAAAAAGAGAAAATACAATTTATTATAATTTTTATATGATTTTTTATATAATTTTTTATAAAAATTTTATATATTATTAAATAAATAAAT